ATAACAAAATAAAAATATTTTCTGCCCCATGTGTTTGTACCTTTCCTTTGGGACAAAAAATAAATAGGAAGAGAAGAATACTCCGTTGCAAAACAGGAATAAAGTGGTGAATTCGATGTGTGTTCTGGACTGGGAGAAGGGCAGTCAGATGGTTGGTGAGACGTCATTCCTGGGTGTGTGTGTAAGTGACTCCCAGGAAGAGAAGCATACTGAAGAGGCAGAGTGACTCATGGGGCGGGCGGGAGGGACTCGCTGGGTTGTAGGAGGCCTTCGGAGAAGAGAGCAGGAGAGGAAGCTCGCCCACGCCTGGAGGGGAAGCATCCGCACCGTGCCGCTGGGAGGTGGCGCTCCTGGTGCTCACCGCCTCCGATGTGTATCCTGACTAGGCTTCCCCGCTCTTAGGCCTTTAGATGCAGACTGAGTTGAACCGTGGGCCCTTCTCATTTTTTCATTTTTAAATGACAATTCACGCCGCTCTGGGCTTCACTATTGCCTAAGTCAATTCTCATGACAATAGTATATATGTTCTAACTCCATATATATGGAATGTGTATTATACACGTGCAACCCGTCATATAAGTCCAACCTGTTATATATCATACACTCTACATGTGGAGTCTCCTGTGGGCTTTATTCCTTTGAAGAACCCTTGCAAAAATAGATTTAATAGCAGAGTAGTTGGTTCTAGAGAAACTGTACATTGAGATTAACATATTAGTGCTTTCACATATTAGTAGTCTTATTTTTTTTTTTTTTTTCAGAACTGGGGATTGAACTCAGGACCTTGTGCTTGCCAGGCAAGCATTTATTTTACTGAGCTATTCGCCCAGCCCCACTAGTCCCAATTTGACTAGCCTTTATCTGTCTTTGATATTTAGGTAGTTCTCGTTTAAAGTTTTGAAAATATATTGTCTTAGTCACATTCCCTTTGTTGGGACACAGTACAGATACCTATAACTTAAAGGAGGAAAAATATTTCTTGATTAAGTTCTTTGGTTCCTGGCATTGCCTTGTTAACGAGGCTTAAAGAAGCCAGAGAGTGCATCTCACATGGTTCAAAGGATGCTGTTAATCCACCCCGTGAACGAACTGCTTGGCAGATGCATAACTGTGCCTTGGATGCCTATAACCAACTACCTGCAAGCTACAAAGCGTTAAGTAATCAGTATCAATAGTTTTGACTATTGAGGAAAAATAAGCACCACAGTGACGGGTAGCTTGCTCCTGCTGTCATTGCTCAATGTAGTAAAAGAACATGAGGAGGTGAGAACTTTGAATTCAAGCTCAAATCTAATAACTCCTGAAGGGCCCCTAACAGGCTCATCCGCTGTTTGTTGCCACACTTACATAATGACCAAATTAGCACAATAAACTCAATGAATTTATGCCAATTCATCAGTTCTTTATCCTCCGATTATGTTTATTTGTTCTTGGACTTTGCTTCAGACAAATCATTGCGGGATAAGAAAAGCAAAGGCTAAACCACTTCAAAACTCTTTGAAATGAACACATCGTCCCTCCCATAATTCCTTAAGATCGGATGCGCCACGGCTGCACTGGAGTGAAGCTGTCTTCCTTAAGAACGCAGCCTTTTTGCTAAGTGAGGAAGGTAGAGTGCGAGCAGGAGCCCTAGTGACATGTAGGAAACAGGAAGGAAGGCAGCTCCGCTCAAAGATGTGGGAGACTCAGAAGGGACCCTTAAATCATTTCTAATGTTTGTGCTAAAAAGTGTCTGGCCTGCCGTCAGGGAAATCTTAATTTGTGGAATTGATGATGTCATCTCACTTAAAAAATTCAACTGGGAAAAGCAGCCAGCCTTATAAACATAAGCAAATTTGTTCTCCCTTGTTAATTCGAAAGGTACCTAGTCTCCCCCTATTTTTTTCTAGGTTCTTTCTCTTTATCTTTTTGGTAGAGCTGTCTGTATTTTTTTGTGTGTGTTAAGAAAATGTTGCTATTTAGCATTAGAATCCAAACACCTAGTTTGTAGGAGTGAGATGTAATTCCAAAGAGTCAAGTGACTCCACTGAAAAAGCGCTGCTGGTTATTTGTGTAAGACCAATGCTGAAAATCTGACAATTTGCACTCATTCTAAAGATGAAACACAGAAGAGGAACAACCGCAGTTTCCTGTGATACAGTGTTTCAGACACTGCTCCATCTCTACATATATTGTGACTTCATCTTCCAGGAAAACCCCTGCAACAATATTTAAAGGTAAGAAATCCTAATGTTCACAAAAGCTTTGTAAGCTTTTTTGTCTGCAATTGTGCACATATCCTCCAGCATACAGATAATTTTTGAGTCAAATCTATCAAGTTCTAAACTTCTGAATTGATTTTATGAGACAAATATTACGAGGTTACTAGAAACATCTGAGGGTAAAATTTTCAAGCATCAACACATGCTAGTAGACCTTTTTAAATGAAAGTGGGATTTGGGGTACTATGATCATGTATCGAATGATGCACTTAAGGAAAGAGGAAAAGACCCTTCTACCTTCTTGAAAATATATGCATACACAGTAGTACATACATGGTTATATACATGTATATATTAAGTTTGTATGTGTACAGACAATATGCAGAGTTGGGAGATTAGCATATATAGTGAAAAGGAGGGAGAGATATGAAGGATGCAGAGAAAACGTGTGTGTTTGAGAGAGAGACAGAGAGAGAGAGAGACAAACAGAAAGAGCAAGAGAGAGAGAGAGAGAGAGAGAGAGAGAGAGAGAGAGAGAGAGAACAGGCACATCACTACCCTTCCATAGGTCATGGTTACTATATTCAAAGCCTTTATCTTTATAAAACATTTTAATGTGTACACAGACAAACATGGACCTAGAGTTGAGTTTGAGATTAGGAACCAGTAAAAAGTGAATGACTCTGAATATATAAAAAAAACAAGAAATTTTTGGACTTATTTCAAAAATGTAAAGCAAGATAGACACAATAAACAATTAGGGAATAGAAACAGGAGACATCAGCTAGGTGTTATAAAACTAGAGTTTCAGTGAAATGAAATTTTCAGTGAAGAATTCCTGTCTAATTAGAGGGCAGTTGATGAATTGAAAAGAGTGCATTTGTCTAATGTTTAATTTCAACTTTTATTTCTTTCTTTGTTTTCTACATTTTAGGGAAGGGTCTACTGGGTGTTCAGGCCTTCACTACTAGATCAGACTTGTAGTGACTCTCCTGTTTACAGTCTCCCAAGAGCTGGGATCACAGGTGCGCACCACCACACCCAGTCTCAGTCACTGTCTCAGCATGCCCCGGGGGCAGGGCTGGCACTGCAGGCTCAGGGATCAAACCCCCGGCCCCTGAGTCTGCTTGCAGGCACTTTAATCTGCTGAGTTATTTGGCTGGCCCACAACTTTTATTTCTTGCAATTCATATGCTTCATCTGTCATGCATAGAATTGGGAAAATTTTGTGTCTGTGTGTTAGCGAATAGATGGAAAAAAGGTTTAGGGCAATTGTGTAATGTCCCAAGAGGTTGACATCAGGATTATCTAAGCATTATCACACGTCTTAAGTCATGCTGCAGGTCTTGGGCATAACCCCTAAGTAGACTCTAGTAAATGATCAGCGCTTTACCTTGCATCTGAGTCATCTCTGTAGCAGCCTTGGGAACTAATCCTAAAGTCCAGATAGCGAAACAGCGAAGTCATTTTCTGTGAGAGCAACACAGAATAACTGACACTGACACAAGGTGGAAGTTTATTTCCAGTCATGTAGCATTCTGAGTGGGCGTGCCAACCCGGGGCTGCCATGACTGGGGAAGGTGCTCCGGCTACTTCAGCTTAATCATCCTGCTACTTGTACAGAGTTTCACTTATTCTTATGATACGGGAGGCCTCACACTGTCTGCATCGTAGCCATTCGGAGGCAAGCCAGGGGTGTCGGGAGAAGGCTATGTTCTAACCAGGCAGGTACAATCCTCTTAGCCAGAACCTGCCATTTCCCTGAAGCAAACACAGCCTGAGAATAAACAAAGAAAGAAAAAGTTATTGTCATCATTGCTTTTTCTCTGTGCTTTCTTTTCTTTTTTCCAAGAGCTCAGCTGTGAGGTATTGTCTGCCCTTGAAGAGCAAACTGGTGCCCAGTTATGGGGTACTGTTGACCCCTCGGGCATATCCCACTCTGCTTTAGGAGATCACTATCATTTTCTAGCTCGATTTTCACTGTCTTAGATGAACATGACAAAATTAGTCACTTGTGCACACTAATTCTGGGCTGATGCTCTGGAAAGTTCGGATTGTTCAAAGCAGACCCAGTTGACTGGAAGGAAGGTAGGTACACTTCCTGAAAGCTTTCCTGCAGGATGTGCAATTGTTCAGTTTTTCACGTATTCATCTTTTCCTCTATTTTCTTGCAACAGCTATTCATTGTGTAATAGGACATGCTGCATTTAGATCTTACAAATAATGAATTAACATATATTTTAAATTTATCCCTGGGGACCCGTAAGCAGAGAAGCAAAGGGATTTTTCTCTGTGATAACTAGGAAAAATAAATGTTAATAGGAAAGGAAATTCTTTTATAGTATTCTGTCCTGGAAACTTAATTTAGATGAAGTTTTGAGCTTTTATTTATTTAAATTGTGTTGAAAAATCTCAGAATTTAAAAGTAGCATGGGAAAGAATTAGTGAGAGGTTAAACAAAATGAAAAATGTAGACAAAATAAAAGGGTAGATAAGTAAGTAATGTAGTTATAGACCACAGGTTTAATATGTTAAACAGTAAAAAAGACAATTAATAAAAAAATGAAAGTTCAAATTGATTGAAATCTACCATACATTTTGATTATTTGCCAATGTTTAAGTAGATCTCGTTTAAATTAAACCAAACATTCTAACATTTGCAGAGGCAAAATTAAATCACAGCAAAGGAAAACAAATGCAAAAGTGGAATCAGAGAAAAAAAGTGCTAAGAAAATGTGGAAATTTTTACCATTAAATATGTTTTTACTGGTCTAAAATTCTCATTTTTTGGTGAAAGAAGTTATGGGGACAAACTTTACAACAGTGACCGAGTTCATCCTTCTGGGGCTGACCAATCTCTGGGAACTAGAGATCCTCGGCTTCCTGCTGTTCCTGGCTGTTTACACGGTCACCGTGGTGGGAAACACTGCCATGATTGTCCTCATCGTGGCTGATGCCCGGCTCCACACACCCATGTACTTCTTCCTCAGCCACTTATCCTTTGTGGATCTCTGCTTCTCTTCCAATGTGACTCCGAAGATGTTAGAGGTTTTCCTGTCAGCAAAGAAAACCATTTCCTACCCTGCCTGCCTGGTCCAGTGCTACTTTTTCATCGCCTTGGTGCACGTGGAGATGTACATTCTGGCCGTGATGGCTTTTGACAGGTACATGGCCATTGGGAACCCTCTGCTCTATGGTAGCAGGATGTCCAAGCGAGCGTGCGTGGTGCTCGTCCTGGTGCCTTACGTCTACGGAGCGCTCACGGGTCTCATGGAGACCATGTGGACCTACAGCCTGGCCTTCTGCGGCCCCAATGAAATCAATCACTTCTACTGTGCTGACCCCCCACTCATTAGGCTGGCTTGTTCTGACACCTCCAGGAAAGAAACGTCCATGTTTGTTGTGGCTGGGTGCAACCTTTCCTTCTCTCTCTTCCTCATTTTCCTTTCCTACTTTTACATTTTCCGTGCAATTCTTAGGATCCACTCCATAACAGGCAGACACAAGGCCTTCTCTACCTGTGCCTCCCACATGACAGCTGTCACCATATTCTATGTGACACTCTTTGTCATGTATCTAAGACCCCCATCCAAGGAATCCGTGGAACAAGGGAAAATGGTGGCTGTGTTTTATACGACAGTGATTCCCATGCTGAACCCCATGATCTACAGCCTTAGAAATAAAGACGTGAAAGAAGCCTTGGCCAATCAGCTTTCAAGGAAGGAAACACTTTCCTAACAAATGTTGCTTTGCCTTTCATCTTGGATGTCTTTTTCTAGACGTGTTTTTCCAAGTTGAAGGGCAGAACTGATGATAAACTGAGAAACGAAGCACACTAGGAAAAATGCAGTTCATTTCTAAAAGCCAAATATCTAAAATAAAATTTAATTATAAAAAGAACACATGGTCCTAGTTTTTATTCCTTGCTTTCACGCATTATTTTGTTTTTATTTTGCCTTTTATGCACAGCACAGCTTTGTATGCTGGTTAAGCTCGAAAAAATGGCTTTTTTTTCCCTTAGGTAGATTTTCCTCCCCTTGTGTTACTTCTGAGATGAGCATTAGATTGCTTATGAAAATACACCACCTGCTGGCCTCCTTTTCTCTTCCACAGGGACCAGCCTGTTTTAATGATGACTGATTGTTAGAAGTCATAGGAAAATAATTCTCAGACCATGCCTACCGAAAATGCAAAATGCTGAGGAGTAACTTTGTTTTCTTTTTTAAAATTTCTTATTTATTTTAATGAGAAAAAAGATAAAATATCAATGAAACAGTTTCAAAACAGTTTAGTAGGGCAGTTACAAAAATTAGTACATTGCATATTGTTGTCTTCGTAGTAGTTATTCAGA